ACGCTGACACGTGTGAGACATCCCCCTGTCCTAACGAGAGGGAAACAATTACTCCTCACTCCAGCACGTGACGCTACACTAATCCAGCCTCGCATTTAAGCTTGTATATTTCCTCAAGTGCATATCATAATGTCACGTGTTTGATCATCCAACTGTACCGACATTATTTGATAAGCACCAGGTGGAACGGGTTATCGCAGCGGCCATGTTGCTCGGAGTAACGCCTGTGTAATTGTTGTGGCGGGCCATGTGGTTTCCATGCTGGATAAGGGGAGGAGGGACACACGCGTAATTGAGGTTAAAGAACAGGAAGAGAACACGAGTTTTGCGAGGACAAGAAAGTGGCACTGTCTAAACTCAGATCCGTCTGTAATGGGATGAAGAATATGGTCATGCACTGTCTAAGCTTGGATCGTGTTTGTCCTGCACCATGACGTGGAATATAAATTATATATTTTATGAAAACCAAACCAATATGTATAGATGCAGAAGTCTAGCTAGGCTCAATCAGCATCAGGAAAATTATTTGGTTTAGTTTTAGAGAAATGTATTGCGTAATACAAGATTTCATGGACTAAATGTCAGTCAAGGATCATGTTTACATATTGAAATATGCTATAGCTTCATTGACATAAAAGACTAGATAGGAGCTATTTTTCGGGGAAATGACAGAAGTGTGCTGTGGTCGCATCTAGAACCCAACTAAAACCCATCTAGAACCCACCGAGAACCCATAAAGAGCCCTCCCAGAACCCACCTAGAACCCATATAGAGCCCATCTGGAACCCACCTAAAACCCATCTAGAACCCATATAGAGCCCACCTAGAACCCACCTAAAACCCATCTAGAACCCATATAGAGCCCATCTAGAACCCACCTAGAACCCATGTAGAGCCCATCTAGAACCCAACTAGAACCCATATAGAGCCCATCTAGAACCCACCTAGAACCCATAAAGAGCCCATCCAGAACCCACCTAAAACACATCTAGAACCCATATCGAGCCCATCTAGATCCCATAAAGAGCCCATCCAGAACCCACCTAGAACCCATAAAGAGCCCATCCAGAACCCACCTAAAACACATCTAGAACCCATATAGAGCCTACCTAGAACCCATAAAGAGCCCATCTAGATCCCATAAAGAGCCCATCCAGAATCAACCTAAAACATACCTAGAACCCATATAGAGCCCAACTAGAACCCACCTAGAACCAATATAGAGCCCATCCAGAACCCACCTAGAACCCATAAAGAGCCCATCTAGAACCCACCTAGAACCCATAAAGAGCCCATCCAGAACCCACCTAGAACCCATAAAGAGCCCATCCAGAACCCACCTAAAACACATCTAGAACACATATAGAGCCTACCTAGAACCCATAAAGAGCCCATCAGAACTAGAACCCACCTAGAACCAATATAGAGCCCATCCAGAACCCAACTAGAACCCATATAGAGCCCATCCAGAACCCATATAGAGCCCATCCAGAACCCAACTAGAACCCATCTAGAACCAACATAGAGCCCATCCAGAACCCAACTAGAACCCACATAGAGCCCACCCAGAACCCAACTAGAACCCACATAGAGCCCACCCAGAACCCAACTAGAACCTACCAAGAACCCATCTAGAACCCACATAGAGCCCATCCAGAACCCAACTAGAACCCACCAAGAACCCATCTAGAACCCACATAGAGCCCGTCCAGAACCCAACTAGAACCCACCAAGAACCCATCTAGAACCCACATAGAGCTCACCCAGAACCCACCTAGAACCCACATAGAGCCCATCCAGAACCCAACTAGAACCCATCTAGAACCAACATAGAGCCCATCCAGAACCCAACTAGAACCCAAATAGAGCCCACCCAGAACCCACCTAGAACCCACATAGAGCCCACCCAGAACCCAACTAGAACCTACCAAGAACCCATCTAGAACCCGCATAGAGCCCGTCCAGAACCCACCTAGAACCCACCAAGAACCCATCTAGAACCCACATAGAGCCCACCCAGAACCCACCTAGAACCCACATAGAGCCCATCCAGAACCCAACTAGAACCCACCAAGAACCCATCTAGAACCCACATAGAGCCCACCTAGAACCCACATAGAGCCCATCCAGAACCCAACTAGAACCCACCTTGAACCCATCTAGAACCCACATAGAGCCCATCCAGAACCCAACTAGAACCCACCAAGAACCCATCTAGAACCCACATAGAGCCCGTCTAGAACCCAACTAGTACCCACCAAGAACCCATCTAGAACCCACATAGAGCCCATCCAGAACCCAACTAGAACCCACCAAGAACCCATCTAGAACCCACATAGAGCCCACCGAGAACCCACCTAGAACTCACATAGAGCCCATCCAGAACCAAACTAGAACCCACCAAGAACCCATCTAGAACCCACATAGAGCCCGTCCAGAACCCAACTAGAACCCACCAAGAACCCATCTAGAACCCACATAGAGCTCACCCAGAACCCACCTAGAACCCCCATAGAGCCCATCCAGAACCCAACTAGAACCCACCAAGAACCCATCTAGAACCCACATAGAGCCCGTCCAGGACCCAACTAGTACCCACCCAGAACCCATCTAGAACCCACATAGAGCCCATCCAGAACCCAACTAGAGCCCACCCAGAACCCACCTAGAACCCATCCAGAACCCATCTAGAACCCACATAGAGCCCATCCAGAACCCAACTAGAACCCATAGAGAGTCCATCCAGAACCCAACTGGAACCTAACTAGAACCCATATAGAACCCATATAGAACCCACCTAGAACCCGTATAGAGCCCATCTAGAACCCACCTTGAACCCCGCCTGCCTAGCTAGAACCCACCTAGAGCCCATACACAGCCGAACGAGAACCCATCTAGCAACCACCTTAGATAATTGCTACAGTGTCGGTCGAACATAAACATGTTGGTAAGAATAAGAAACTAGTGGTCGAAGGATCAGAAATCGCAAGCGTAATTATGGGACATTGTAGTTAGCACAATCAATTTGGATAATAAAGTAATATGACAATGTATAAGTGCCACCTCAAATTAAAGTTAGAGCGAGTAACCTATTGTTTTTATGACCTAATTTAAACTTGCGACGAGTGCAAATTGGTCCCAGTCCCGTTTCTCTTGAACAATTACGGAAAAACTAGTCTTAGTAGGACAGGGGAAGTAGTGATTCAAACCTGGATCCGTCTTTAAATCATTAGTACTGTGACTCCTGAACTCCACACCGCGTTAATGCAATGCGCTGCCTCAGGCTCCGCCATCTCTGCCAATAGGGAATATATACCAGCTTTGTCGACGACCTCGGGGGCGGATAATGAGATTCAGACAGGGGAAATATTCGGCTATTAAGTCTTAATGAAAACCAAACTTGGAAATTTGTTGTTGTCCACGCCACGAAACAATAGCCACACTGATCAACGTTATACGGCCATGATGTTTGTTGTGGTCGTGATTTCATCTGAATTTGTTTGAAGGATTGTTTGGATACTTTGGTTTATTGTTTCTGTGGGGTTAGGAAAACCCTTAACGGAGAGGCATTATGCTGAACGTTAAACAGTGCTTTCGCTTGTAGATAAACTCAAGCCACTGAATCGTTGTCCTTGTGGCGCATATTGTATTTTATGCACAAACTGGATCCCGCCCAGTGAGTGAGGCAGGTTTTATGCCGCTTATAGCAATACCCCAGCAATATCAAGGACGGGGGGAACACTATAAATGGGCTTCATACATTGTACCCATATGGGGAATCTAACCCGGGCCTTCGGCGTGACCAGCAAACGCTTTAACCACTACGCTATCCCAGCTAGGTCGTCAACACTGCATTTAGTTTAACATTTAGCCCAGAAATAAAGTGAAAAAAAATGGCGAAATTCCATTTAAAAAAATCCTGACGAGGCAAAAACCAGCAGCACTGATTCCAACTTTTTCACATCCAAGACTTTTACGCTCCAGTATTAGTATCAGAATATATATATTTGCTGTGTGGATCTTATTTTAAAATATATATCTACAACATATATATAATATAATCCAAATAGAGCCCAGAACCATCCTTAATTTCAGTAGCTAAGGCAATCAAGACTTGAACTTGACTCCATATTTATTATTCCGTATGGCCTGGGAGACTTCCTACACTGAAATTGACAGTAGCGCCAGTAGAATGTTGTTTCGGCCACTGTTGTTTTTTGTTGTTGTTGTTGACAATACATCATTTACAAGGCATCCGGCATGTTCAGCGAACATGTTCCCAATTTCCCCCAAAAAAATTATATATATATATTTTTATTTTTTTTTATTTATTTATTTATATTTTTTTTTATTATTATTATTTTTTTTATTTTTTTTTTTGGGGGGGGGCATTTTTATTTGTGTGTGTGCGTGTGTGCGTGCGTGCGTGCGTGCGTGCGTGCGTGCGTGCGTGCGTAAGTATGACATGTCAGCCCGTTGTTGTACGCAGATATAAGTCCACTGCTTGCAATGAGTGCTCGGCAACGTGTACCGACTTAAACCCAAACTAGAGAAACTGGTCATCTCTGTATTTCCGGAAACGCCATAGGCATTGAAATATACTTAGTATAGAATATAGAATCTCTAGAAAATATTCCGAAACTGAGACGGGTGTATAAGTGGTTAGCACTTCAGTATACTTTAACCAGTTTTATTAGACACATAAGGTACAATATTTTGATGTCCATTTTCCACGTTCAACACCCTCATATCCCCGAGCTACTCCTGGACGCGACGTGAACCCATCTGACTCTCACTCACTCACCCATTCCTCAATGTGCGAACCTTGAAGCGTAGTGGGGAATTGAACCCGGGTCTTTGGCATGACGAGCGAACGCTTTAACCACAACGCTACACCACAGTCCCATTGCTACTGTTAACTCTCATGACGATAAGTTTGTCGCCAAGTGAAACTCACTGACTTAGTAATGGTAATTAATTGACTCATTTTATCAATACAGATACAAGAATGGCGAGCAGCGTAGGCCTGATCACCCTGGTGATAGTGAGTATATTGGGCGTGTCCAACGCCCTCAGTGTGGCCCCACCCTCAGACAAACGTTACCAGTTGCCTGACCATCTACAGTGGCTCGGTAACGCAGGGTTTCCGGCCGGGGGCCAAGCGCCCGGTAGTCATCAACTGATCCGGAAAGAGGTGAAAAAGACAAACAAGACGCGCCTGGACGTGAGCTATCAGAATGACCAGTCGCAGGTAGAAGAAACTGCGTACCAGCATGTCGGACAGAAACGCCAGAACGCTTGCAAGAGCGCAAACAGCTTCCTCAAGACCAAACTGAAGAACCTGCGCCATCAATACAAGCAGAAGATGAAGGCTATCAAAAAAATCATCATTAAACTGCTCGATGACAGCTTCGACGACCCCAACGATCCCTTGGCGGATTTCTGTACCGTCAACGGCGAGGTGGTCGACGTTCCAACGTCTAACGCGCCGCTCAACGATGAAAACATCCGGGCAGCCAACAGCGAGGAACCTTGCAAGGTTAGCCCATGGGCGGAGTGGAGCACTCTGGCGTTCGGTACCCTCGAGAGACGCCGGCAGGTGGTTCGCGAGGGGTGCGGCTGCCCCCCTGAGGATGAGCTGGTGCAGGTGATCGACGTGGGCCACTACCTAGGTAGGGTGACCGAAATCATAATAGTTAGTTAAGATGGGTGAGGGAAATGGTGTGTCTCATGCTCGTGAGTGAGTGTTTGTCTGTTGTTAACGCCGCACTCAGCAATATTCCAGCTATATGACGGCGGTCTGTAAATAATCCGAGTCTGGACTAGACAATGCAGTGATTGACATCACGAGAATCGCTCCACGAGTGAGTGAGTGAAATGAGTAAGTGAGGTTTAACGCCGCTTTGAACAATATTTCAGTTATATCACGGCATGTCAGCTTTATATTGGCAGTAAGACCAAAGTGACACAGGCCTCAGTCGTTTACCACTTCGGCGACAAACCTTGAAACATAATTGGGACTAACGAGGATTCGAACCCACGATCATAGCCAGACATGCTATGACAGACTGTTTGATTATTTCCTGGTGCTCGCTGAATTCTTCTTGTATAAATCTGCTAAACACAGCATTTCGTTTTTGTAAAGCAACTGTAGTAGGATAACAATACTATGCGTGTCTTGATGTCAAATGCCTGCTTTCCCACCCTAGGGAACAACACATCGCAGGAGTTTCAAAACCCTGACGTTGTTGGTACTAATTTCGACGACGATTTCCTCAACCACTTCGGGGGCAACAACGGCAACGGCGATAACAGTGGAGGGAACGGCGGCAACACTGGGGGATACGGGGGCGGTAATGGCGGCAACGGTGTTGGCAACAATGGTGGTAACAATGGCGGCAACAATGGCATCAACAACGGTGGCAACAACGGCAGCAACAACGGCGGCAACAACGGCAGCCTTGGGAACGGCAATGGTGGCAATAATGGCGGCAACAACGGCGGTAACGGAATTGATGGCAACACAGGTGGTAACGGCAATGGCGGCACAGGAAACGGTAATGGCGGCTCCAACAGCATCGGTAATGGTGGGTCCGGAACCAGATCAACTATTCGGGATATCCTTCTTGTCCTCGATTCTTCCGGTTCCATTGAAAGTGACGATTTCGAGCTGATGAAAGATGGCGTGGTTATGATGATTGACTTATTTTGCGGTGGTTTTGGGCCCCTCAACACCAACAACCGCCTCGCCATGGTCCAGTTTGCTAGTAACGTCACCGTCATCCACCGATTCAGCGACTCGCAGAATCCTTTTGACTTAAAGGAAAAGGTGCGGAGACTCAGGCACTACAAGGGGAACACGTGTACCGGAAATGCGCTGCAGACTGGCTTGAAGAAAGTTTTCACTTTCCTTTATGGTAAGTCGTAAAATCACTAGGGCTACTGGGCTGTTTAATTCGGCTTGCACTTAATCACTTAATACGAAATGTGACCGTGGTGTGTTTAATGCACTTGAATAGAAAGTTTAAAAAAATATTTATCATTCACAAAGGCAAAAACGATGGCATCCGGTTCAGTATTTGCTACCATTTACGATTTAAATTCAATTTTTTAAGGTAGTTCACATTTAACGAAATCTTGAAATTTTGAAATCTGTGCAGTTTTATTCTTCTATATCTTCTTGCCGATTTAGAGATTTTGAGTCTTTTTGTTGAAGAGTTCTTTTTTTTCTCTTTTTTTTAACACACACGTAACACACATGTCTCTAGTGGAACCCGGTGATGTTTAATTATATATTCATGCTTATCGTACCGTTAACAAATGTATTATCAATAACCTCCAGGCATGCGTGACTTCACCGTGAAAGACACCCTGATCGTGACCGATGGCCAGTCCAACTGTGGCATTGACATCCGTCGCGCGGCCTCCGAACTACAGCATGCCAGCAACGTCTTTGCCCTTGGCGTCGGCATAGCTGGCAAGGTCAAGGCCAGAGATGAAGTCAAGTCTGTCGTTTCGATGCAGGATCCTCATCACATTTTCTCTCTAGCCAAGTTCGCCGACTTCAAGGCAATGGTAGAAAACCTCAAGAGAAACAGGGCTACCAACAACCCGTGCACGCCCATCCAAGAACCTTGAACCGCCCCAGAATGAGGTCAAAGAGCGGTTTTGGTTGGGAGCATTAACCTGGTTTCGGCAGATTTTTAACGGAATATGTTGGGAATGTGACACTGAGCCTCGATGTGGAAGATTGTTCTGTTAGGTTCTGACTTTAAATTACAATAAATCAAATGACGTTACATTTTGAACCTAGAACTGTTGAAAGAAGCTGATCTGTCTTAAGATCGTGTAACAGGTTTCCGCCTGCTTGTCCAACTGTATATATTATACATTTACACCTGTACGAACCCGCAGCCAATACTTGTATTGTTTGTGAATAAAATGACTTTCACAAACTCCCCCACCCGAGATCATATCTCTATGACTTCCTACCACAGGAGGAATGAGCGAATATAAACTACCATTAAGTCCCAGAAATACGGTTGTCTTATTTAAAAATATATATCTACAAAATACAAAATAAAATACAATTGGAGCCCAGAACAATGTTTACTAGAGCTCAGGCAATCTGGACTTCAGTTGCCAAATCGTTCTAGACTTGAGTTAGTTTCATTTTAAAAAGAATTCTTCAGGTCTGGGAGACTGACTAGAGCGAATATTAAACTTCGTGAATGTACGCCCCTATTTGCAAATGACATGTGTACCATGCACCCCATTGGGATTCCTGGGTACAATAGGTCCTAAACAACCTATCCTGGTCGCAAGAGGCGACATTGTGGATCGGGTGGTCAGGCTCGGTGACTTGTTTGATTGTGTGTGTCGACGAACCCGGACGTCGTGGATCGATACGTGCAGTATGAATCACAGACAAGATTATTTACAGGCCGTTGTCATACAGATGGACTGTTGATGAGTGGGTCGTTAAACGACAAACAAACAAACTGTACCGTGGCAGGAAACGATTAAGGATCAGACATAACAAGTGTAAGGGTCGAAATACGTCCTTTGGGTAGGATGACACACAGGCTACCATGAATGGAGACACACACACCACACAATGAGGACACACGCACGCACACGCACGCACACGCACGCACACGCACGCAAACACATGGACATAAACACATCTACAGACAGACACTCACGCACAATAAAAAGAGACACACGACGTCAGACAACAGACATACATGTCACAAACAGACGCAGACGTACACACAGACACACCGACATACTCTAACTCACAACAATAGAAGTCCACACACAACGGATAGACACACACACTGACATATCCACACAGACATAAATGCCAACATAGACACACCGACATATCCACACAGACACAGATGCCAACATAGACACACCGACATATCCACACAGATAACGATGCCAACATACACACACCAACATATCCACACAGACACAGATGCCAACATAGACACACCGACATATCCACACAGATAACGATGCCAACATACACACACCAACATATCCACACAGACACAGATGCCAACATAGACACACCGACATATCCACACAGATAACGATGCCAACATACACACACCAACATATCCACACAGACATACATGCCAACATACACACACCAACATATCCACACAGACATAGATGCCAACATACACACACCGACATATCCACACAGACATTGATGCCAACATACACACACCAACATATCCACACAGATAACGATGCCAACATACACACACCAACATATCCACACAGACATACATGCCAACATACACACACCAACATATCCACACAGACATAGATGCCAACATACACACACCGACATATCCACACAGACATACATGCCAACATACACACACCGACATATCCACACAGACATACATGCCAACATACACACACCAACATATCCACACAGACATACATGCCAACATACACACACCAACATATCCACACAGACATTGATGCCAACATACACACACCGACATATCCACACAGACATTGATGCCAACATACACACACCGACATATCCACACAGACATTGATGCCAACATACACACACCAACATATCCACACAGACATAGATGCCAACATACACACACCAACATATCCACACAGACATCGATGCCCACATACACACACCGACATATCCACACAGACATTGATGCCAACATACACACACCAACATATCCACACAGACATAGATGCCAACATACACACACCAACATATCCAAACAAACATTGATGCCAACATACACACACCGACATATCCACACAGCCACAGATGTCAACATACACACACCGACATATCCACACAGACACAGATGTCAACATACACACACCAACATATCCACACAGACACAGATGCCAACATACACACACCGACATATCCACACAGACACAGATGTCAACATACACACACCAACATATCCACACAGACATAGATGTCAACATACACACACCAACATATCCACACAGACACAGATGTCAACATACACACACCGACATATCCACACAGACATTGATGCCAACATACACACACCGACATATCCACACAGACATAGATGCCAACATACACACACCAACATATCCACACAGACATAGATGCCAACATACACACACCGACATATCCACATAGACATTGATGCCAACATACACACACCGACATATTCACACAGACATAGACTAACATACACACACCGACATATCCACACAGACATAGATGCCAACATACACACACCGACATATCCACACAGACATAGATGTCAACATACACACACCAACATATCCACACAGACACAGATGCCAACATACACACACCAACATATCCACACAGACATTGCTGCCAACATACACACACCGACATATCCACACAGACATAGATGTCAACATACACACACCAACATATCCACACAGACACAGATGTCAACATACACACACCGACATATCCACACAGACACAGATGTCAACATACACACACCGACATATCCACACAGACACAGATGCCAACATACACACACCAACATATCCACACAGACATTGATGCCAACATATACACACCGACATATCCACACAGACACAGATGTCAACATACACACACCAACATATCCACACAGTCACAGATGTCAACATACACACACCGACATGTCCACACAGACATAGATGTCAACATACACACACCAACATATCCACACAGACACAGATGTCAACATACACACACCGACATATCCACACAGACATAGATGTCAACATACACACACCGACATATCCACACAGACATTGATGTCAACATACACACATTGACATATCCACACAGACATTGATCCTACACAAACACAGCTGCTGACTACATCTATGATAGACAAAAAACACTCTGTGATGTAGATACATTGTTTATTATGAAAAGCTTGTTTAATATATAGACAGCATAATGTCAATGTTTCTGGATTAATACAGTGACCACACACAGATATGCCACACCTAGAATTCATTACTACTTCATCGGAATGTTAGAAAAGGGGCCAAGTCAGCATTAAACATTTCGCTACAATATTCATCCACAGATCACGATAACAGGACACGATAAACACATCTAGACAACTTAATCTAAGTTTTAGGATGAACATGGTATGAAAAGATTGGGAATTCTTATGAGATGGATACCACTCAAGACAGTTAAAGAACATCTGATAGTTAATCTGCCAGGCATACAGTATTGGTATTCTTTAACTTCTTTTGAGTAGCATATATACAGCTTATGACATCCTTAACATTAATGTCACAAACAGGATTTGTAGGAGTTGGAATTGTTTCAGGGAAAGAATCTTACACAACATGTCTCTTAAAGTTGTTAAATGCCCGTTTGTGGCTTCTAATGACAAAATACAACGTAGGGTCATAGGGTTATGGCGTCTTGGAAAAACAAACCTGTCCATATATATCGAAATCAAATGATGCAGTTATTCAAAAGACGATATTCCAGATGATATCTTATAAATAGCGACACACCATTCGTAAATATGATTTTCAGAGGCTGTCTAAAAAACGGGTAATCCGTGAAAACATATACAAAAATGAATGAATAATTATTTTGTGTGCCGTGAGTTTTATTTCTTGCCGGCTGGATGCAAGTTACTATCAATGAAGATACAGCCATCAACACAAGTGTGAGAGTTGGGATCATAGCAGTCTGACCCTGGGCAGGTCTTGGTGTATCTGACTCCCACTAGGCTGCATTGGAAGTACTGATGGTGGTTGCTAGGGACGGGGAAATACAGCTCGTTGGCCTGAATGTGCTGCTGAGTGCAAGGATATTCGTACATGCTCTCTGAAGCTCCGTTGCGAATAGTGGTGTATTGTGGGGCTGCTGTGGGTGCACGGGTGTACGTAGGCATTTGTGTCCCAGACCCACAGTTTGGAGTCAACTCTGACATTCCAAGACATGTCTTCACACAGTCATCCCAGACTTCCTGGTTCGGGCAGCTCAGAACTTGTGGATTCAGCGTGTCGACGCATTCGATGTATTTATGCATGTCTCCTGGGTAGCCGTAGAACCGTTGACCATGGAGCGCCATCTGGGGGCAAGGGTTGTAGGAGGTCCCTGGTTCCTCGCACGTGGTGTGTACTTGCACCCATACATATGAGGTCTGACAGGACCGCACCCAAGCGTGACCCCAGATGTCGCACTGTATGTATTTAGTGTGGTCCCCAGGGAACTCGAAGTAAAAGTTGTTGTTGAGAAGATTCTGGGCCGTGCAAGGGTTCGAACTTACTTGGGCAACGACAGTGCAGTCCACTTTCGGAACGTTTCGCCCGTAACATGTCTCACAGTCAGGGTCAAAGATGGTGTCAGTTGGACAGTAGCTCACCTGGAAAAGTCCATTTGGCAAACACTGGATGTAGCGGTTTGTGTCACCCGGAAAGGGGTACTTCTTCTGTGACAGCGCATCTGCTTGTGTACATGGGTTGCTCACGGTGGGAACGCCTGGGAGGAGGGAGAGAGAGAGCGAATGAGTATGATTTTACACCGCTTTTAGCAATATTCAAGCAATATCACAGCTTGAGATATATTTGTGGGTCTATGCATTTGTAGATGTTGTGTAGTATTCAATGTTGGGATTTGTTTTTTGGAACCAGACACATTTTTCAGACATTGCGATTATAAAACTGGGTACTTCTTCGAAGTACTATTCTGTAAAACAGATATTGCCTCAGAGTTCATTTAGCTGTCCTTACTTGCGTTAGCGTACAAATCGACTCACGGCAGCTAGTGAGCCCTAGACAGCCGAGAAGAAGCCTGAGATTAGTGCCCCTTTAAACAGTTGTCATAGCGACTGATTTACGACTGCCATTGTCTGAAGTACATTTGATTGCAAAGGCTAATTACCCTGTAGCCATGACATGTATATGTCTCCATAACTTAATTGTCATTATTTATAAGACACTAATCCCCGTTGTTAATCCTCACCAACATTTCATTGTATTTTGACTGTCAGTCAGCCTGGACTACCATATCACTTCCCTTTAACTACTGCTTTTTATAGTATGGCATTTATTGCCCTAATTGATCATCCCATGAACTGTGTTGGTCAATCACGCCCACATGTCCAATGTCCAAAGCAACGTCGTTGTCTCTTTGTCTGTCCATTGTTGTTCATTACTATATATGTATCACAATTACACAGTTACTACGGTGTTAGTCAGGCTTGGTATTCCGAGTGCTGGCATAGGGACGACCTCGAGCAGGATGTGCCGCTCGTAGGAAACGCCCTGAGGTGAGCTTGAGCTCCGCTCACCTCTTGTACGCCTGAGCTGGAAGGTCCGCTCATCGCTGTGTTTGTGTTGTCAGAGCAGGTATTCCGCTCATTGTGCAATTGTTGTTTATTGTTTACATGTTGTGCATAAAGCGTTCCGGGACAGTGATGTCGATTTTGTCCTTTATTCCCCCAAGAGCTAATTCATACCGTCAACATGCGCGTTGACACAGTTGTGAAGCCACATCGGGGTTACTAGATAACCATTAGCCTTTGACCCGTGTAGGTGTCTACTCTTGTTTTGTGGAATATAGTGACGTCATAGATCAGTGGACATGACCATTAGTCCGCTGTCCCGAGACAAGTGACAGTCATGAAGGACTACCAACAGAGATCGGACATAAGCTGTGGAACAGTTAGGAAATGAACATTTGCGTTTAACATATCTGTCATTACGGCGCCGAAGAATAATAAAAGATCAAATTTTTAATCGAGACCTTTGTCAAATTATTTTTAAAGTGAAGTTTGGTAATAGTCGCCATTTTGAAACTAGCGGCTTAAAGCTCGAAAAAGCTGTTTTCTGATTGGTTATTTTTAACTTCCTGTTAGTAATTTCATTGGTCGGTCAAAGTTCACCTGAGGTCGTTCTGACAAGACCTGCAAAAGGATGTTCTCAGATTTTTTATGTACCGGTAGCGAGCACAAAGATCTGATTTTATAGAGATTGCTGCGAAATCTTGTTGATTAGAAAGAAACGCATTCATTCGACCTGTATTGTCCTGAGGATTACAGGGAATCGAATTGAATTAACCGCTTTTATGATCGAAACAAATTACGGCACAAGATTCTACGATCGCGTAGGAACCTATACCCTTTAGACGAACGTCACGTCTTAATATTGTAAATACTACACTGCATCTCTGAGTGAGTTATTGTTGCGCTTTGTCCTAGTGGACTGTGTTCCGTCTATACTACGTCAGCCTGTATATTACTGAGTCTGCGCAAACCCAATAATGACGGGTGCAGCAGTTTTGAGTGTACGCACAGTGTTATCCTGATCAGAGCCCGAGAGCTCCCTAAATATCAGTGTCCATAAATGACTTCTAAAAGTAAAACTGGTTCCTGGTTGTAGTTGCGCTGCGAAAGCGTTATAATTTCCAGATACGTGTTCTTCCCACGGTAAATCTAGGTGACATTGCATATTAATTTGATATTATATTTTTGAAATATCAAAACATTCATAACAATTTTTCAAGGTTGATGAAATGAGTTAGCCGCTTTGACATGTGTCTCAATTATCTGTCTACCTTTGAACAAATTTATGTTTAAAAAGTTGTCCATGGTTGATTTGGAACTTAGCAGTAGCTAAAACACTAAATCAGTCATGTCATGGCGTCTCAGATAAATACCGAAACCCACTAGCAGTGAGTTGATAGCACCAGGATGAATAATTACTAGATTGAGGGATTCTAACCCAAGAACAGCGAATCCGGGCAGCTAAGGGGACATAACTGTACAGTGAGTTGCGGCCCCTTAACCCAATGGGTCCGCATAGAGTGTACTCACCGTCACATATGAGCGGTCTGAACTGGATCAAATCTGTTTTCGTGCACGTTCTCGGAGAGTGGGACGGCAGATCCCGACAGATGACCTCGAACCCTGTGTAATATGACAACATAAAAGGTTCGATATATCCGAGTTTTCGACACAACAGATAACAACTTCACAACGTAATTTTTAACACTAAAAGGATAATTAATATCATACGTGATTACAGTATGGAACAGTTCATGTTAACCAAGCAATTAAGTGTTCAGTAAAGTTTTTAAAAAAAACACAATACATGTGTACAGTAAACTACGTTTATAACGAACACGCTTATAACGAACTGACGGATATAATGAACTGTTTTTTGCCACCGTCCATTCGTTGTATATATGCTGTATATGTGCTTATAACGAACTACGGTTATTACGAACTAACTTTAGTGGTCCCTTTAAGTTCGTTATAACCGTAGTTTACTGTATTTCAATTGTTCTTTCATGATGTATTTAGAACATACAAGTACAGTAGTACATTGTTGAGAAGTAGGATACATCAACAAGCACGTAATCTATGATAATGCGAACTAGGAGAATATCCAACGGAAATACATTGTAGTTACATATATTGTAGTTTACATATATTTTAAATGGTATTTGTAAACATATTTACATAATTTAGATTGCGACTACGCTTGTCGTAAGAGGCGACCAATGGGATCGGGTGGTCTTGACTGACTTGAATGATCGGGTGGTCAGGCTCGCTGACTTGGTTGATGCATGTCATCGTATCCCAATTGCGTAGATCGATGCTCATGATGTCAATCGCTGGATTGTCTAGCCAGACTCGATTATTTACAAACAGCCGTCATATAGCTGGAATATTGCTTAGTACGGCGTTAAAGAAGAAACAAACAAAAATAATTTAGATTGTCATTGGCAACGCGCACTCGTTTTTACTACACTACTGGGCAAAAGAAAGTATACAGCTGAAAATTGGAGTTGACATCAAAGAAGTACAAACGTTATCAAAACCGCATTAGGTTGAAAACAGTCGCCAAAACACAGCAAACTCCAAATCACATTTGTGCTACCCGTATCAAATACATCACCGTCCAATGACCATTTCTCGTATATTTCATTGTTAGCCACCATCAAACAGGTGCCCGGCAGTTTAGGATCCTTTCCTTACATTTCACAACTTAGAATAGGGTATAACAGCGAAATACACAGTGGTGGCACACCTACCTGTAACCAACTGGTTATCGACAAGGGGCGTCAAGGTCAGGTTACTGCCAAACACACAGTGGGGGCACACCTACCTGTAAGCACCTGGTTACCGACAAGGGGCGTCAAGGTCAGGTTACTGCCAAACACACAGGGAACACCTAACTGTAACCACCTGGGTGTCGACAAGGGGCGTCAAGGTCAGGTTACAGCCAAACACACAGTGGGGGCACACCTACCTGTAACCACCTGGTTGCCGACAAGGGGCGTCAAGGTCAGGTTACTGCCTAACACACAGTGGGGGAACACCTACCTGTAACCACCTGGTTACCGACAAGGGGCGTCAAGGTCAGGTTACTGCCAAACACACAGGGAACACCTACCTGTAACCACCTGGGTGTCGACAAGGGGCGTCAAGGTCAGGTTACAGCCAAACACACAGGGCACACCTACCTGTAACCACCTGGTTACCGACAAGGGGCGTCAAGGTCAGGTTACAGCCAAACACACAGGGAACACCTACCTGTAACCACCTGGGTGTCGACAAGGACCTACCTGTAACCACCTGGGTGTCGACAAGGGGCGTCAAGGTCAGGTTACAGCCACATACACAGTGGGGGCACACCTACCTGTAATCACCTGGTTGCCGACAAGGGGCGTCAAGGTCACGTTACAGCCGTTGCTTCCTTGCGAGTCCTTCACCATAATATACAGGTAGTTGGCGTTGGCGTCAGGCTTGGCCTGGTAGAACATCTTCTCCGCTCCGTTGAGAACCTCGTCGATGAGGTTGTGTGCGGAGCTGGGGTAGTAGTTGTTCACGTCGGCGTACAGGATGGAGGTGCCGCAGGAGACCGTGGCCTGGAACAGCAAACATGCATATGTAAAAATCGTGACCACTTGGCGTTCTTTTCGGGTTGTATTCACCGAAGCGTGTCCTTTATGTGTTTTCTGATGGATACATGTTTCAACTTTTAACCCGTTGACAGTTTTTAGGCGGTCACATATATAGTGAGTGGTGACACAGATAGTGGGTGGTGACAGATATAATGGGCGGTGACATATATAGTGGGCGGTGACAGATATAGTGGGCGGTGACAGATATAGTGGGCGGTGACATATAAAGTGGGCGGTGACATATATAGTGGGTGGTGACCGATAAAGTTGGAGGTGACATATATAGTGGGCGGTGACTTATAAAGTGTGACATATATAGTGGGCGGTGACACATATCGTGGGTGGTGGCAGATAAAGTGTGACATTTATAGTGGGTGGTGACAGATGACGTGGGAGTGACATATATAGTGGGCGGTGACAGATATGGTGGGCGGTGACACATTTAGGGAGGCTAGTGTTGGCGATGATGTAGCGGTCACATGTTTACCTTGATGGTGAGGCCGTTGTTGCCGGTGAAGGGGAAGGCGTATGTAGGGCAAGTCCCAATCGTACATTCCACCGTCCAGTTGGCGTACAATGGGGCTGCAAGAAGGCATGACATGATTCCCTATGTAAATCAGTTGTAATCAGTTTAACTGGCTGCAAACACTCGTCTAGAGAATCATCTACATTCTAGCCTACTCATGCCAGTATATCTATTATAGGTCTCAGCTCAACTGATGATAATCTAAACCTAATAAAATGAGAGAGCGTCATGGATACTACATAATCGATACCTCCAAGGATGTTACATGTTCCAGAGGCAAGGGAGATAACTGACTGTAAAGGTCCAGTTTCCAGTAGGTTGGAATTCCGGAGTTATGTTTTGGCTGGACTAAGGAGTCTATGCATAGTCGAATCAAAATCGTGTAAGAAAATCGACATCCGGTTCGTAAACTGCCGTGCAGATTTCGGTCGATTGCAGGATTTGCAAATCATGTGTATCACAAACTCGGCATCAACAGATATTTTCCAAATCTTTTTTATGTTTTTATTCAAGGTACTGATATCATGCACTTCGCAAAGTAAGTCCCGTTTTATCACAATATAGATTTTGATTATCGATCAGATCATTTTGACTGGGCACCGCCACTTTGTCTGAAGCTAATGCAAATGATATGAGAGGTATAATCTGATTGGTCAATATGAGGGACATAGAAGGGACATAACTTCCGGCTACATTTATAGCCACTGGTGGCGCTACCTTAGAGTCTACAAATTCCATCCTAGTTCGGCAATGGTGGAAACTGGACTTTTACAGTCAGTTATCGCCCTTGCTTCGGGAAGATGATGATGTAAGGATCGGACAGGGCTGTTAGCCCTACTCTCGGACTGACCTTCATATATACTCACCGCCAAAATAAACTCCAATACGATACGTGTTGGTTAATATATGAAGACTTACTCATATTCAAGAGATATTAGATTGGTTCGATGCACAAACGAACATACTGGTATGTTGTGTGAACCGATGCTCATGAACGTAACACATGTGACGTCATAGATCCACGACTCGAGATGCTCCATTTGTCACGTGCAGGATTAGCCAGTAAAGTTCGGCATATCGTGCATCTTCCCGAGGCAAGTGTGTTAACAGACAATAAAAGTCCAGTTTCCACTCTTGCCGGACTAGGCTGGAATTCCTGGGCACGACCGTAGCGCCACCAGTGGTTATTACGAGTTATGTCCCTTCTAAGCCTCTCATATGGACCAACCAGATTCCACCTCTCGTATCACTTGCATTTGTTTCAAACAAAATGGCGGCGCCCAGTCAAGACGATCTGATCGATAATTAAGATCTATATTGTGATAAAACGGGTCTTACATAACGAAATGCATCAAATCAAGTGAGCACCTTGATTAAAAACATGAAAAGACTTGGAAAATATCTGTTGACAACGAGTTGGCGATGCACATGCTTTACAAATCCTGCAATCGACAGAAATCTGCACGACATTTTACGAACCGGATTTCGATTTCAGTACACGATTTTGATTGGACTATGCATAGACTCGTTAATCCAGCCAAAATGTAACTCCATAATACCAACCGTGTTCGGCAAGGGTGGAAACTGGACTTTTTAAGTCAGTTAACTCCCTTGCCTCGGGAAGATGCATATCGTGATAAGAATAAAGAAACTTCCTGGTAACACTTGACTGATTGTAAGTTTTGTTATTAATTGGTACACATTGGAAACATCTCTTCTCAACGTACATATTTCTCTGTATGTTTCTATGGTTCGCGTTGGTTTTGGTGATTTCGTTATAAAAAATGGTTTGCCACCGGTGGGGCAGGATGCGCTTACCTTTTCGCAAACACCTGGTATCATCACTATTTGATAGTGATTCATAGACACATGCTCATGATATAATAGGAATCGTACAATCGACTCTATTTCTGGCAGAGATTTCTTATAAATATGGTATTGGGTTTGTCGCTTTTATTAAAGGAATGGGTGACTATTTCGATATAAAAATGCATGTAGGCAAAATTTGGGAAGACATTTCAAATGCATGGAATAGACGTGATCAATTATGTGATATTCTAGGGGTCCTGGGAGTTAATCGATTTTAAATTGTCCCAGAAAAGCTTGAGTGAGTGAGTGAGTTGGGTTTAACGTCGCGTCCAAGATTATTGCACCTATATAGCGACGTGCATGTACGTGTGTGTGTTTGTGTGGCTGCTTGTACTAGTCCGGACTGATGCCGATTTATAGTGCTCACTGAGATACCATGCCGCAGTTTAACATGAATATCCCACTGAGACAAACTATACTTGCTCCGAGCCGACCAGTCCTTGTTTTAGCCCCTTAATGCCGAGCGCCAGACAGGGTGACAACAAGTACCATCTTTTAACGTCTTTTGGTATGACGCGGCTGGGTATCGAACCCCGGACCTTCCGCTCTCCGGGCGGACGCTCTACCACTAGACCACGGAGGCGGTCAGAAAAGCTTGAAAAAAATAATATGCTTCAGACTGTTGGAAAAAATCCAAAGAAAATGTCAGCCACAAAAACTAAATTGTTGTAAGATGTTTTCGATTTTAAAAATATTTAAGTTCATAGTCTTAATTTAAAAAATGGTTCGTCCCTAACCTGTGGCTACACCCACGAGCTCGGATCAAAATGAGATTGGAACCGACAAGCATCGGATCCTAGCTAGCATTTAATTGTGGCGCCGTTGTCCACTGGAGTGATGACGGAGGCAATTGCTGCCGCGATGTGATGGGGGAAGCTTTCATAGACACTCACCCCTGCAGATGCTGTTCTGGATCTCCTGTTTGAGGTTGGCGATGATGTCGTACCCGTTTGTAAGGTAGGAATGGGTACATGCTGGGGGCGTGGCCACTTGCTGCAGTTCAGTGGCGTCTACTGCATTCCCAACCCCCACAGTGTATATGGCGATTCCATGGTTGCGTGCGTTTTCTGCAGCGTGCTCAGTGTTGATTCTGTCATCAGACTGTCCATCAGTGATGAGGAAGGCCACCTTGACGGCGCTGTCCCTACCGCCTCTGGAGGTGGCGAAGACGTCGTTAGTGGCGGTGTTGAGAGCACCAGCAGTGTTGGTGGCGCCGCCTGTGTAGACAAGTTGGCCAATGGCTGTAAAGACTTCTGCCTTGGAGAAGTAGTTGTTGAGGTTGAACTGGACATTAACGGCGGATGCAAAGGTTATCACGGCGACGTGGGCAGTGTTTCGGCCAACATTGAGTCCATTCACGATATTCCTCAGGAACGTCTTGGCTCGTGTAAAGTCATCTTTGCTGAGACTGCTTGAGGTGTCTACGATAAAGACGACGTCTAACTGTCTATTTAAAGCCTGACACCCTGGAACAAACAGAAGGAAACAATAATAACAACAATAATAAGCATAAGGCACTAGTACTACGACTACGACTACTACTATTACGACTACTACTACAAAACAGAGAAGACTGGTAGTGAGAACAGAGAACATTAGAAGAGAAAACAGAGGAGATTGGTAGTGAGAACAGAGAAGATTGGTAGTGAGAACAGAGAACATTAGAAGAGAAAACAGAGGAGATTGGTAGTGAGAACAGAGAAGATTGGTAGTGAGAACAGAGAAGATTGGTAGTGAGAACAGAGAACATTAGAAGAGAGGTGATAAAACAGACCAAGTTCCATCGCGTTAACCGTTGATGTAAAGTTGTACGGGCTGCTCAATCCGTTTTCGTATTTGTCCCTCCAGAAAATGGCCTGTTCCTCGACCTTCAGAGGGATGGTGACCCCTGGATGGCTGGTTTGTAGGGTGAGGTAGAGGGCGGCAGCCAGTCCGGAGTAGAGGGGCTTCCTGAGGTCGGACCACTGTACGGTCATCCAGTTTATGTGTAGGGAGTCCTGGAGGATTTTGTACAGAGGCTGCAGCTCGGGCTGGTTACCCTGGGTCTGGGCCAGCATGCTGGAGGAGACCTGAAACGCCGTGGAATAGGAGCGATCAGACTTATTGTGGAACACATAGCTAAAGTGTGGGACCGATCTTCATTTTCGGGAAGGAGTGGTGGAATTTAGTATAAAGACTAGATATGATTTCAGCTAAATCTGAAAAACCAGTTTAATAAGCCTAAATGAAGAAAAAAATGAAACAGCATCTTGAAACACAATATTGTTTTGAAGCAATGTCTTTGTTATCCAACAGTCTGAAGCATATTTATTGTTTTTAAGCATTTTCTGGCATATTTATTTTTTTCGATAAAATCACATCCTGTCCACAGCAGTCGACACGTCCATGTAAATGGGTACAAATTGTACTCCGAAATCCGTTTGGGGTACTTGCTCTGAGAAATATTCCTTGTTTATCACGCTGATTGCCTAACGTAAACATATTGTTGGACCACAGCCCGTAAACGGTCTTCTGCCATACTATAAGAGGTAGCATAACAACATACTGGCATTATTGGTTAGATGATAAAATTATGGATATTCCTTTTTAATGTTTCGAAACATACCACAGCATAATTAATTCATTCTCAGATTTGATTTGTAATTACTGGAACCTCGTTGGCTTGAATTAATATAAGATTGTTCATGTTGGGAAACATGTTTCATATAGAATGTTTTAAATTCTACAAGAGGGATCAGATAAATTCTCAGGTATTATATCAATTAACCTACATTAAACTTATTAACTGTACTTCAAAATGATAAACACTAAAGACACAAATTTGTAATTCAAAGTCCACAGAGAGTGAGTATGTGTTAACTCCTCTTTCATCACTATTCCAGCAATATCCGACCCGTGATGATCTGGGGTAGATCAGGTCTTCAGCAACCCATGCTTGCCGTAAAAGGCGACTATGCTTGTCGTAGGAGGCGACTATTGGGATTGGGTGGTCAGACTCGCTGACTTGGTTGAAGCATATCGTCGATCCCAATTGCGTGGATCGATGCTCGTGATATTAATCACTGGATTGTGTGGTCCAGACTCGATTATTTACAGACCGCCGTCATATAGCTGGAATATTGCTGAGCGCGGCGTTAAACAACAAACCAACCAACCAACCAGCGATATCACAACGGGCACACGCCAAGCTGATACCCCACATTTCCAGCATCTTTGTTGAGTACTTTGATGTCACTCTTACCTGCCAGATTCCGCCACTGTTATTTGGGTCACTGTACGTTTTGGGCATGGACCCGTCCTTCGTCTCGACGTAGGCCAGGCGGCGGAGAAACAGCTTGTCCCCTGGCAGGATGCAGTTTGATCGAATTATGTCCACCACCGTCGTCACGACATCAGGGCCGTAGGCACCAGCGTGTTCAATCACGTTGACGCTCAAACATCCTGGAACTACCAGAAGCAGCGACAGGTACAACACGAACATCGTTATGTTGGTTGTACAGCGATGCCTCGACGTCTAACGATACCGCCTACTGCAGTATGGAGAAAGTGGTGCGAGAGGAGCCTTTCTCAGCACTGCGAACGATGACGATGTTATCGGGATTTAAAGCTCCCAAGAAGGAAGTAGTTTTTAGACTAGTGTCGACTGTCCAGTATTAGGGCCAAGTGGGAAAAAAGTAATGCCCTGATCGAGTATTGATATCATTGGGTACGTCTTCATGTGAGAATGCAAATTGTTAAAGGTCATATCAGCCATATCAGAAGAGTTTTATCGTGGGCTATTCCGTGTAAGGTACAAACTTCCTAGTCCTAGTGACGTTTAGTTTTCTATATCTTTTAGTGGATGTTAACTTTCTAGCGCCTCAAAGACAGTTTGGTTTGTATACTCCCCAGGGAGCTGAGAATGAACATATTCCTTATTCAAGGAGGTGGTGAGGTGAAATGGGGTTTAACGTCGCGTTCAAAATTATTGCACTTATATAGCGACGTGCATGCACGTGTGTGTCTGTGTGTGTCTGTGTGTGGCTGCTTGTACTAGTCTGGACTGATGCCGATTTATAGTGCTAGCCCACTGGGATACCATGCCGCAGTTTAACATGAATACCCCACTCAGACACAGTTTACTGATTCCGAGCCGACCTGTCCTTGTTTTAGCCCCTTAATGCCGAGCGCCAGACAGGGTAACAACAAGTACCATCTTTTAACACCTCTTTGGTATGACGCGGCCGGGGATCAAACCACGAACCTTCCGCTCTCCGGGCGGACGCTCTACCACTAGGCCACGGAGGCGGTCCCCTTATTCAAGGAGTTTGACGCAATATAATTACACACATTTTTTATTATTTTTTTATTATTATGTACAGTTTAAAATATAAAATGCAGCAAAGAGGGTTTGTGTGATCCTGGCACAGTCAGGCTGGTTAGGCTCATCACCAGCTCAGGGCCCTTGCCCCCTCTACACGCAGCCCAGACAGCGAATGGGACTTCTCCCAGGAAGCGCTGCCTAGTCAAACTCACCCAGAGCTTTTCGGAGAATGTGAAGACTCCCCAACACCGCAGTCTTCTGCATTACCCAGACTGTCAGAAGGGCTGTACTCCCGGGAACAAACCCGGGTACTCTCCCAATGCCAATCATCAGATTGGGAGGTACCAAACCTAAGGCATTGAGAACAATGGGGTGTCGGACAACTTGACACCGTGACATTTCGAAAGCCATGTTTTTCCTCAATCTTGTCAATCACATTAGAGTCAAAAGGGACAGAAAATTCAATGAAATACATGATTTTATTGGATTCATCAAAAAAAGACAAGATCATGTTTGTTGGCCTGGATACTTCTGAGGCTGTATACGGGCCTATTCCAAAGAATTTTGTATTTATCATTTTCCATGACGCCCTCTACATATTCCGGGTCATACCATGGATGGACCTGTGTCAAAACCACAAGCATGGCGAAGACGGTAATAAAATGATGAGCCACTCCATTATCATTATCCGCTTAAGATACTGTGTTTGTGCCAAAGCCGGGCATCCACTTATTATTATTAGTAGTAGTACTAGTAGTAGTAGTAGTAGTAGTAGTAGTAGTAGTAGTAGTAGTAGTAGTAGTATTTCAATTGTTTTGCGCCGCATATATATACTGACGGAAATTAATAAGGGAACACTTAATTTTAGACACAGTAAAGTGATATGCTAACATTGGTTCCCATCCTTGTCTACAAAATACGCGTTGGAAACAATGTACACAAACACATCTCAACATTTGATTCTGACATGTGTTGAATTTTTGTTCGCGCTTTTTTAAAGGTACTCATTTCCCCATATTTTTCATTGTTCCCTTATTCGTTACCGTCATCATATAATAGCAGTGGGCGCCAGTGCTAAATGCACTTCTACAATTCTAAATATTTGTGCTAAATAAAAAAACGTAAACTCAGATAATGTGTCCGTTGCTCTAGAATCGAAAATAATGACATGTAGACATTTGCTGGTGATTGTTAAAAATATTTGTTACAGAAAATATTGGGGAAAAATATTTTTCGGTTCCGCCTCTCAGAGAGAGAATCGCATACTTTGAAGCAATGTTTGTTTGTTTGTTTGTTTGTTTGTTTAACGCCGCGCTCAGCAATATTCCAGCTATATGACGGCGATCTGTAAATAATCGAGTCCGGACCAGACAATCCAGTGATTGACATCATGAGCATAGATACACGCAATTGGGGTCGATGACAAGCATCAACAACCAAGTCAGCGAGCCTGACCACCCGATCCCATTAGTCGCCTATTACGACAAGCATAGTCGCCTTTTATAGCAAGCATGGGTTGCTGAAGATCTATTCTACCCTGGATCTTCACGGGTCACTTTGAAGCAATGACCGATAAAAACATTCTCTAACTATTCCCTGTGAAGTCGCTCTGATTTACATGTTTCCCAAATAAGGAGTCGTAAATTCGGAGTGAGGGATCATACCAATATTTCCATTTTGCAGGACAAGTGTTTATTTTTACTCCTTTAATTTCAAGAAGTAAATTAATATTTTTAGGAGGAATCATGTCCGTAATATAAATATTTTGCTCAATTCCATTTACATATCGGTTCAAGCCTTTTCCACCAAATACGCGTTGGAACAATGCACACAAACGCATCTCACCATTTGAGTCTGACATGTGTTGAATTTGTATGCGCGTTATTTAACATGTACTCCCTTATTCGTTTTCATAAGGATATGTTTAGAGCTGCAGTATTTCCCTGGGGGTGTAACTTTTGTTTGTTTTTGTTTTTCGTATGTTTGTTTTGTAACGCCGTACTCGGCAATATTCCAGCTATATGACGGCGGTCCGGACTAGACAATCCAGTTAATTGATGACATGAACACCGATCCACGCAAATGGGATACGCTGACATGCATCAACTAAGACCAGCTATATGACGGCGGTCTTTAAAAAATCGAGTCTGGACCAGACAATCCAGTGATTGATATCATGCGCATCGGTCCATGCAATTGGGATCGATGATCAACCAAGTCAGCGAGCCTGACCAACCGACCCCGTTAGTCACATACGACAAGCATACTCGCCTTTTACGACAAGCAAGGGTTGCTGAAGACCTGTTCTAATCCGGATATTCACGGGGCGAGGGTATATCTAACAGGTCAGACCTAGAATGTGTTCAGAAAATACATTGGCAACCTTCACCAGGTCTAGAAGTAGAGCATTTGGATACTTGATATGAGAGATAAAGAGATTTGCATGTGCGTGAATATTCCTTTTCAAATTGTTGGTATTAAGAACTTAACTGTGAATTATTACGCATATTTCTGTGTTATTTCAGTTTTGATAAATGATAGAATTAAGTCCAAAACAGGACAGCTAATGTCAACCAGTATCAGTTATACCAGCCAGTATGAGCCTGTCTTCTACTTATGTAGGCTGGTTTTCACGCCGCCTTTAACAGTATTCCAGTTATATCACGGCATGTCAGCCTGAAGTGATGCAGGTCTTAGACGTGTGCCGCTTTGGTGAAACCCACGAGCACGAGTATGGTGCTGGCAAACCTAGAAACATAATGAGGCTGCTCCTTACACCACAGGGCCACCCAAGCCCCCTAAAATCTAAAGACTCCCGTGTCCAGCAAGCACTTGTCAGACACAAAAATGGTTTTATAATTCTATTGATATCAAACATCCTACCTCAAAGGAAAAACTTTTCTCGACCATAACTATTGCAGAAGTATCTTGAAGACAGAACATTTCAAAACAATCTGTCCTATAGTTAAGAGGAAGCATTTGGCAAAAGACTGTATTTTTCACTAAACTGTCTCTCGTGGTGCATATTTACAATTTCATTGTGGCCAGAAAACAAGAATGATATTAATAAGAACAGCAGATTCAGAGATAAATGCTGACGGAAGATGAACGGTTACTGGAAGAACCATAACATCAGTGAGTAAGTGAGTGGGCATGGTCTTACTCCGCTTTTAGCAATATGAACCGTGAAGATCCGGGGTAGAATAGGTCTTCAGCAACACATGCTTGTTGTAAAAGGCGACTATGCTTGTCGTAAAAGGCGACTATGCTTGTCGTAGGGGGAGACTGACGTGATCGGGTGGTCAGGCTTTCTGACTTTGTTGATGCATGTCATTGATCCCAATTGCGTGGATCGATGCGCATGACGTCACTGGATTGTCTGGTCCAGACTCGATTTTTTACAGACTGCCGTCATATAGCTAGAATATTGCTGAGTCCGGCGTTAAACAACAAACAAACAAACAAATTTTAGCAATATTCCAGCAATATCACGGCGGGCATGAGCTCCGTGGCGGACATAAGCTTCACACATTGTTCCCATCTTTGGAACAGAACCAGGATCTTTTTGGCGTGACGAACGAACGCTTTAACTACAAGGCTACCCCCGCTCCACCATGGCATGAGTTCACGTTGACCTAACAATGAAGATGTTGTCTGATTATATGTTTTAACGTCATCCGTGATAAGAGACAATGGGTAAGGGACAATGGGTGTTTGTCTCGGTGAGCGACAAGGAAGCACTTGACATTACAGTGTCAACGTTAAGGTTATCTCACCAGCCAAGAAGCCTGGGAAACAGCAGTCAGCACTGTCCCAGTATCCTGTTGAGATACCGCCTGGTAGTCAATACTGAGTTGGTTAATTCAGCCGACAGCATTCTTAGCGTCACGTCGACGTATTACAATTCAATAGATATTGCCTTGTGGTTTGAGTCTCTGCATATCAGGTGAAGTCCTGGTTTCTGTATAGGTGATGTGATGTTTGATTTGGTTTGATTGTTGTTTTACGCCGCACTCAGCATTATTCCAGCTAAATGACGGCGGTCTGTAAAAAATCGATTGATATCATGAACATCGATCCACGCAAATGGGATACGATGACATGCACCAACCAAGTCAGCGAGCCTGACCACCCGATCCCGTTAGGCGCCTCTTACGACAAGCATAGTCGCCTTTTACGGCAAGCATGGGTTGCTGAAGACCTATTCTACCCCGGATTTTCACGGGTCGATTGCACTTATATAGCGGCATTCATGCAGATGTGTGTGTGTAGGTGGGTGTGGGTGGGT